ATATAGGTTGTTATAATCCTTCTAACCCATGTAAATGGATCCTTTGTGGTTTTGTTTTAAAATGGTCTTAAAATAATAGTTATTTTAAATCACTCCCGTTTATCATAATAAGAAAAAAGATTGAATTCAAGCTATCTGTTAGGAAATCAGACGACACCTGTCAAGAATCATAACAGATCTGATTCATGGCAGCATGTATTAGGGTCATGCCTCATCAAATACTCGTAAGCTCCTAAATCTGTGGTCTTCAAATCCTCCATTGTTTCCATAAAATCATTTTCAACCGTTCAACTTGTGGTCTTCTAAAATAAGTTCTTATACGCTTCTCCTTTGTAACTCTTCTTAAAGTCCCTAAATATATGCTTAGCACATTACCTGTGCTCAACATTCGGAAGAACCACTTTCGCAACTTCAAGCAAACCCTGTAAGTAAAATGTAGTTAGAATGTATGCTAAGTATGAAAACAAATGTGAAGTAATACAACATATTTGGGATGACCTTATGTTGGTCTGATATCAGTGTAAGCCCCCCGTCATCTTGTAGTCTAACATCTTCAACTAAGAGCTCTATAAACCATTTCCAGTTGGCCTTATTCTCATTGTGTACAATGGCCCCTCAAATTAGATAAACCTGATTATTAACATATCTTCCAATAGTTGTAAGTAGTTCACCGTTAACTAGGCCTTTTGAGAAAGCTCCCGTCCAATCCTATAACTTTTATGTATCCTCTAGTCCACCCTATTTTCAGTGCTTGAAAGCATAAGTAGAACCTATGAAAATAATTTTTTACATCCAGGTTGACACCAACTCCTACTTTCAAAGTGGAACCTGGGTTCGATCTAATGATTTATTTGACATAATGCCAAATCTGTGCATAATGATCACAAATCTTACCATCAATCATTACCAAAGCCCTTTGTTTAGCCATGTCACATTTTCCTTTAGAGACACTATACTTGAAATTTTTTATTATAATTTCTTGCATATGCTTAAGCTTTAATGTGGGATTCAAAAGCAACTCTTTAGCAATATGTTGAGCAAGCCATTATAGGGACATAAGGGATGCAAACTCAAACTTCCTTGAACATATGTGCTTCTCATTCATTAACTTTATCTGTAAAGATCTCTCATTGTACATCCATGAAATATACATACAAAAATGGCATTTTTTTCGTCTGTACTTCTACCACATGTAACAAGTAACATGGTAGTTTCACATTTCTCAAACCTAATAGGGTATCCATTAGCCACAACAAAGTTAATGATACAAATTTTCTGCTGTGATATGCTCTTGTAATTCTCACAAATTTTTAGGCTCAAGTGATTCCACTTTTATTTAGGATTATGCACTATAAATTCAACAACTAATTCGATTTTGTCCTCATCATTAGGTAGAGGGTTCATATACCTATGTTCCTCATGAATTTGTTCACTTAAAGAATCATTGAAATCAGTATAACCCTCAAATATTTCTACTGGAAAGGGATCCTTACATGATTTAAGATTGACAACTTTAGTTACCTCCTTTTTATAATCCATATCAAGATTCTCAAAATGTTCTTCATCGGAATTTATCTCATTTGAGTCATGTTGCTTCCTTTTACGTTTATGCTTGGATGATGATGCCATCTACAAAATGCTAAAACAAACAAGAAATTAAACTCAAGTTTCCGGTAGCATCACGGACAGAAAAAATCCTAAAGAAGAAAACAAAACCTTAGACAAAATATAGAAGCACATTGCTACTATCAAATTCTAACCTTGCGATTGTAAACCCTGAGACGAAGACGAACGCGCCAAAGTCTATTCTTCAAAACCCTATGTGGTGCAATTGTCAAATTTCCTTCATCGGTTATTTATTTCTTACTATTGTGAACTATACAACATCCATCCAGTTGGCAATGCACGTAAGAATGTGATCGAAATTTTACCTACAAACATGATAATTACGAAAAATCGAAAAAATGGTCATTAAGTAAGGTTTTTTTTCGATCAAGAAAAAGTCAAAATATAAGATCTTATTTGAAATTAATCCTAAAGAAAAATATAAAATAACTAAAAAGGACATAAAAAGTCATTTTATATGGATGAAAGATAAAACATGATAGAAATTAAAACTAGCTGAACCTTCCATGAAACTGGAAAAAAAAAACTAAAATTGATATTCATAAAAACCACAAAAACCATTTATGAAAATTAGTCTTTTCTTTAAGTACTATTAACAAACGATAAAAGATTTTGAAATTTTATGTGAACACCACATCTTGCTTTGATAACTATAAGTGATAACAGGAGGGAATATTTTTTTTATTTAATGTTTTTCAAAATGTTGACTGTTGCAGTATCAAACCCTACGCACTAAGGCTTGAGGGAGTCAGGGGCTGTTTGGCAGAATCTGAATTTTTAAGATCTGAATTTTTAAGAGATCTAAATTTCTAAGAGGGTCTGAAATTTTAAAAGCTGAATGTTTAACATGCTGTTTGGTTAGGACATCTAAATTGTTATGCTGAATTATAACAATAACCATTTTACCTTTCTGTTATATTTTTTATTGAATTCAAGTGTCTGTTTATAAAATAACGTAATCAATTTCTTAAATTATTATAAGACAAAAAAATAAACACCATATAAAATCCAAATTTAGCATAAATCACGTGATCATACAATATAACCAAATTAAACATAAATTCTTTCAAATTCACTCACTTCTTTCAATCCATTGTAACATAAAAATCATACAATATAACCAAATTAAACATAAATTCTTCCAAATTCACTTTTATCAATCCATGGTGCAACTAGTAAACCAAATACCTTCTAATTCCTGCACATTTAAGAAACAACCATACAATTTATAACTTTTTTATCAACAAAAAATTAACAAAAACTTTTCAGCACAAATCAACAGAAATCATCCATTTAAGCAAGAAATTGCCCATTGGCAACATGTACGCAAGTTAATAATCAAAGTTCGTAACATTTTAAGAGACTGAAATTGATGCACCTAATAACAGTTTTATCAAAATTTATACATACATTACCACTTAAAACCCAATCCAAATTTGATAGAAGCAAACATTACAAAAAAAAAAAATTCATCTCTTATCATCAGCAACATCAACTGTACATATCAAATTTCAAACCTTTATAATTAGATTTTTGATTTCACCATTTCAAGAGTTTGAAACCCCATATGAATTCAGAAGAAAACAAAAGAAAATCACGAATTCAACATCAGATTACAAACCACACATGAATTCAGAAAAAGGGAAAAAAAAAAAAACAAGTTTTCTGTAAAATCTGATTTCAGAACTTGTTTGAGAAGAAAATCAGATTTCAAATGTTGCAAAAAACATCAAATTTCAAAGAAAATCATCAAATAATAACATAACTAGAGTCGATTTCAGAAGAATATAGAGGAGGCATGATCTTACCTGCCGAAATCGATGTCGTCGGAGCTGTTGTGGTGCGGCAGTCGGAGCTGGTGGCGGGGAAGTCACCGAGGACGTGCAGTTGGGGAGCGAACACAACATATGGAACGAAGGTGCTTGTGTGCGTCGATGAGAGGAAAGAATCGGAGGAGGCGTGAGTTTGAGGAGAAAAGAAAAAGCAACGAAACAAGGGCAAGGGCAATCAGTGTCTTTTTTTTTCAGATACGTCTTCAACACTGAATTTTTAAGAGCCATTTATTAAGTTCAGATGTAAATTATAAGAGGCTACCAAACATTCCAAGTCTGAATTTTTCAGATGTTACCTCTTAATTTTTCAATTATGAGGTAAACAAACATGGCCTCAGCCGACATTTGCTCGACATATGGCTCAACATAGAGGGTAGAGGGCAAACACCGTCCCCCGACAGTGGCATGTCGAGGAAGAAAGGATGAAACGACATATATGTGTTGAGGTGAGAGAAAAGGCCAACTACTCTTTTTAGATTTTAATTTTAATTTTAATTTTTTTTAATAATAATAATAATAATAATAATAATTATTATTATTATTATTATTATTATTATTATTATTATTATTATTACCTTTTTAACCTACCAATTCCAATTTTATCCAACCACTTTACACATAAATACAAATTCAACCAATTTTTTTCTAAAAAAAATAGCCGTTAAAGTTTATAAAATTCAAAATTTTAAAATTTCGTCCACTGTCTATAAATACTTATATTTCTTCCCACTCACTTTACACAATCTTCAAAACATCAAACCTCTTCTAATCTCTCAAATTCAAAAATGTCTCCTCCTAACCAACAAAAAACTCCTAGAAGAAACAATAGAATATCTTCAAACACATCATGAAACAATTTTTATCTTTTCGTGTATCGGCCTCAACTTGAAGCACCCATCTACTCACCACCAATGTTATCATTATCGCATAAATGTTCCATATTACACATATAGATCAAATCAACCTCAGTTAAAATCTTCATCCCAAATTCCATCCTGTAACGTTCGTTTCCATTCGTGTCCCGACTCCCGATATGTAATTATTATTCCTTTTTATCCTTAATAATAATAATAATCAAATTATTAAAAATAAATAGGATATATATATATATATATATATATATATATATATATATATATATATATATATATATATATATATATATAGTCTAGGGGTTAAAGCGTATTTCCCTTAAATCATTTTAGTTAAGACAAATCATGTTGGGGTAGGTTCTGTAAGAACGGGTAACTCTAACGACTAAATCTGCCACTTTCGAAAAACTGTCACTTGTCTCATTCTCTTCATTTTCGCAGCAACACAGACGGGATTACATGCCATATTCAGACCTATAAACGAGATTCTCTCAAAAGCCATCTGATCTTACTCCTTTATACATTATTCTCGACCATTAAATCCATTCTCAACCTCCCTGCTCGGATCAGATAGAATGCGAGTGTGTCTCCCATCTTGAGTTTGTGTGTGTGTGTGTGTGTGTGTGTGTGTGAGAGAGAGAGAGAGAGAGAGAGAGAGAGAGAGAGAGAGATGGGTGAGCCGCTGAGATCAAACGTTCTGGATATTTTCCGGTGTAATCTCGTAAGCTCCGGTGAGGCTCAAACCAGTTTACCTGGGGGAACCAGTAGCACCGAAAAAAATGGGTTTAAACTCAGTTGGTTATCTTCCATTCGTTCATTCCAGACAACGATTCCAGCGAGTAGACAAGCTTCGTATGGCTTAGACGAGATGTTAGAAGGTGTTGGGTTGAATGAGGGTACACATCTGCAAGGAGACGTGTGGAATGCGTATGGTGTATTGGTTTTATATCCAACGGTGGTTATGGAGCTGCTCATGTTTTCTGATGACTATAATGGTGAGAAAATGCGTTTGATGTCAAGTTGTTTAGAAGGGCTACAACCACCATTTCTGGTCCATTATCAAGCTATGTGGGTGAATCAGAATAGTTAAAAGATTCATTGGAGCGGGATGATTTCCATTGATGTTGACGTTTGGAGATACATGTCTAATAACTCCACATCAGGAGGTGGAGTGCTCGGACCATTTTGCTGTGGCCGGTGAGAAGGTGAGAAGGCGTCGCCGGAGAAGATGATATCGTTATATCATCAAACCCTAACGCAGCCATTTCAGATTCAAGAAATTATCTTGGGCATGGAAGATCTCTAATGTTTGGTAAACTTTTTTCTTGTTAATAATGTTAATATTGCTAAAAAATGATTTCATTTTTCATAAATATATATGTTATTAGTTTTTAAGCTTATAATGTTCATTAGTAGATTTTATTTTTATAAATGTTAAATGTTATACATTTTTTAAGAGATTGTCCCACATAAAGGTAAAAAACTGAAAATAATTTTTATTCTTAAAAGCATAAAAGTTTGAATCTATAAAATAAACAAGAACCATTCATCTTTTTTGTGGAAGGTCATTTTTCATCTAACATATTCCAAAAGTTTTCACTTAAATGAAATTACAATATATAAGATCATGCATTCTCCAACATCAACATCATGTATCCAACGGGTCATCCTTCTCAGAAGTGACTTATTCCTCTTTATCTCGATTTTTTTCTTCATTTAGCTAACTTTAATAATTTTGTAAGATTTTTTATTTATTTATGTGAAAGATCAACGAAATTATTGTTCAATGGTTGGAGTTCATGGCATTCAACAAACTGCAAGTCGGTTTACAATTGAACCCGGTATATAGTTAGAACTGACAACTAACTTGAGTGAGTGTATTATGTTTTGTTCCTTAAACTTTCTTAGAGATTAGTTAATGATTGTGATATATATATATATATATATATATATATATATATATATATATATATATATATTCTTCTTTTGCTAGTTTCATAACAGAGTTTGCACATGATTTAATAATTAAGGTTTTCCACATACTAACCTTACAATGCTAAAAGATTTGGTGCAAGCTATGTTGCCAACTTTGTTGCGGGATCTTGACTTGCAAGCTTTCCATCAAGATGACCAGCTAGCTTAAATTGCATCGGAATATCAAGATTGACATCCGCCCCGTACTCGCCAATCGGTATTCCGACAACCCACGAGTTCATGCTTCGAATGGATATGAAAACTATAACCTCTAGATGAGATATTATGCTAGGGTAAAGAGATGAGTTCGTAAGCATCACTACTTATGTCTTCTAGCTGCAGGCTGTAAAGAGACTAGGGTGGTCTCTCTACAGCCTGTAGCTAGAAGACATGAGTAGTGATGTTTACGAACCCTTATTTTACCTTATCATAGTATCTCATCCATAGGCAATCGTTTCCATATCCATTTGGAGTAGGAACTCATGGTTGTCGGAATACCAGTCGACAAGTGGTGGGAGGATGTCGATCTTGATATTTAGGTACAATTTGAGCGGTCTGGCTAGTCATCTTGATGGAAAGCTTGTAGATAATGCAACAAAGGTGACAACATAGCTTGCACCAAATCTTCTTGCATCTTAAGGCTAGTGTGTGAAAAACATTCATTATTAAACCATGTGCACATTCTGTTATGAAACGTGCAAAAAGAAAAAAAAATTTATCACAATCTTTAAATAATCTCTAAGAAAGTTTAAGGAACAAAACAGAAAAAGCTCAGTCAAGTTGGTTGTTCGTTCTAACTACACCGACTTCAATCGTGAACCGATTTGCAGTTTGTTGAAATCCAATGAACTCCAACCACTGAACAATTATTTAGTTGACCTTCAAAGAAACAGAAAAATAATCTTACGGATTATTAAAGTTAGCTAAATGCACAAAAAAAAGTCGACATAAAGAAGAATATGTCACTTACGGAGGAGGATGACGAGCTGGATCCATGTTCATGTTAGAGAATGCTTGATCTTATGGAACTGTAAATTGTAATTTAAATGAAAACTTTTGGAATATATTTGGATGAAAATGACGCCTTTGACAATAAAGATGAAGGATTCTAGTTTATTATTTCCATTTTTGAACCCCTAGATGTGGGTCAATCTCCTAAAACGAAATGCATAACATTTAACATTTATAAAAATGAAATATACGATGAGCATTATAAACTTAAAAACTAATAACACACTTATGGACAATGAAATCATTTTTAGCAACATTCATATTATTAACAAGAAAAAAGCATACCAAACAGTAGAGATGTTCGATGTCCAAGATGAGTTCTTGAATTAGAAATGACGGCATTGGGGTTTGATTTTATATAAAAATAAAATCTACGATGAACATTATAAGCTTAAAAATTAATAACATACATTTATGGAGAAGGAAATCATTTTCTCGCAACATTAATATTATTAACATGAAAAAACTTACCAAACATCAAATATCTTCGATGTCCAAGATGAGTTCTTGAATAGAAATGGTGGCATTAGGACTTGAGCTGGAACTAGGTCGATAATAACATTAAGTTCTAGAACAATGAATGCTTAAATCATTAACAATACCTTAGGGTTCAGGTCATTCTAAGCTCTCAACTATGAGATTTTAGGAGAAACGTGGAAGGAAGAAAAGTAAGAGGGAAGAGAAAGAAGATGGTTGGATGAAGGGGTTAATGGTGAGGGAGTTTTAGCGTATAATGGTACTAAAGAAAAAGTTAAGAAGATGATTGTTGTCTTGTAATGACAGGAATTCAATAAACATTTATTTTTATTTTTTTATTTTAAATAGGTTTTGAAAAGAAAATCTTTTATCATTTTAAGGTAAATTACACCAATTGTCCCTCTTGTAGATGTCAGAAAGCGCGTTTAATCCCGTTTTTCAAAAATTAACACAAACCGTCCCTCGTTTGGTTCAAAGTTACACGCTTCATCCCTCGTAAGTTTAAATTTGCAAGCTTCATCCCTTACGAGTCATAAAATGACTATTGTGCCCTTTTGTATTTCTTTTCCATTTAATTTAAATTTTATAATTATTATTATTAATTTAAAAATAAATGAAAATAAACCCAACATCCCTACCATCCTACCCCTACCTTCCTTTTGCTCATCTTTCTTCCTACCTCTTCTGTTAACTCTTGAAAAACCATTGATCTACCACTTTCCGCCAACCACCACCGAAGCACACACCTTAAAGTCGAAATATGGGCACTTTTTTTTGTTCGTAGCCTCCCCTATTCAGAGAACCATCAACCATTTTTTTTCCTGAACACCGCCTTCACCATGAACCACTTCACCGGGAACACCAGTCGCCCATCACAGAACCCAACCTTCACACCACCTGTTTCTAACCTCTACACCACCAAAAACAGCAATCGTTGCTGCCACCATCCTCGAAAATTGTTGCCTTCAAATGCCACCACCTAACAATCAAACCTGATGCTGAATACCGACAACCATTCCTGAAACTTATCTTCACCAAAACTCCCTAGAACTGCCATAAAATTAGGCCCTGAAAACCATCTCAAACACCTCCTGGAATGTGATCCCCTCTCAGCCTTTGTCGTCGATGGAGAAGATTTGGGTTTGATATGAGCTTGCTTCACCAATCTGAATCTCCTTCTCCGGTTTACAAGTTTAAGGTTCATTTTTTAAGATTTGAATGATGACCGGTGGTAGTTACAGGAGGTAATGGCGGTGATCGGTGGAGGTGTCGGATATTAGAAAGAGGATAGTGAAGAGAGAGAGAGAGAGATAGATCAGTCTGTGAGAGAGAAAGAGAGTGGCAGAGATGACCAATCGAATTCAAAGAAGAAGAAGAAATGAATTTGGGGAAAGGGGAGGGGTGGCTAGGTGGAGTCGGCCGGAGATGTCGCCGGAGTAATGAAGTCGGCCGAAGGTGTCGTCGGAGTCGCCACTGTGGGTGGTGATGGTGGATAGGAGGTGTTTTGAAGAAGAAAGAGGGGGACGAGTTATGAACGCATGCTTAGGGCCCCCATTTCTTTTTATATTAAATTACACGAATGGTCCCTATGGTTTGGGGTAATTTGCGCGTTTGGTCCCTAACATATTTTTTTAACTCGGAAGGTCCCTACTGTTTGTTGTTGTTATGCACTTGGTCCTTAATCTTTGTTTTTGTTACGTGTTTGGTCCTTGTCTTACTTAAAAAAAAACTATTATTTAAATAGGGAAAAATGGTGGAATAGGTAAGGTAAGGTGAGGGGGTGGGGTTGGGGGTGTGCTTATTTAAATAAATTAAAAAATCAAGAGATAAATAGTTTTTTTAGGTAAGACATGACCAATCACGTAAAAAAACAGACAATAGGGACCTTCCGAGTTAAAAAAAGACAAAATTGCAAAAATGGTCCCTGTGGTATGCATTTTTTTGGGGTCTTAGTCCAAACAATGAATTTTTTGGATTGATAGTCCTTTTGGCCTAGTTTGACTGTGGTTTTGGTCCCTCGAAAAACTGAAAAGACTAACATACCCTTAGGGTATTTATTTTTCATTTTTCTTTCATTCTTTTAAAATCTAATTGTTTTTTTATTTATTTTAATAATTAAAAAAAGTGGGGCCACCTCTCTCTCTCTCTCTCTCTCTCTTGAAAAAGAAATTCACCCCCACCCACTTCTTCATCTTCCCCGATTCATATCTGATGAACACAGATACACACTTCTAAATCATATGAACACATGGAGTTTCAGATTCTATTTCTCACACAAACACACATCTATATTTTCATATGAAGACGAAAATGTCTAGAGATCTTCATTTGCGATTCACAGATATGGAAGGAGGTGTGATAATGACTGCAGGGGAACGTCGGAAGTCAGAGATAGCGACAAGACCCATCGTCTTCACTCACTCTGATTCAGCGGTAACCCTAATAGGATCTTCATAGCAACGGCGGTGAAACCCTAATCGGAGTTAGGGTTTGTTGTGGCTCCGACGACCTCAAGCTTTATCTCTATCCTTCTCCGATTAATCCAATCTCACTGCTTTCTACCCATTTCTCAACATATATACATACAGATAAATGTATATACATGCATTGCTAGCAAAATTAAAACCC